CCCCGCCGGTGGCCACTCCGCCTGCTTCTGTGCAGATACAAAACGCCAACGTTAATTATCTACGCGCATTCCTAATACATGCTGCTTTACGTTACGTAACAAACATTCACATTCAGCAATTAAAATGTAACAAAAAAAAAACTTTTTTTACCAGTCGGTGATCCTCCCAGTACATATTCAACCATTTTGACCCCTAGACCCGCGGTATCCCGAGGTGAAAGGATGCTGCCGGCATCGCCGCCGGGAAAAGCGACACCGCGACGCGTGCCCATCATGGGGACACCGACATTATGTTCAACAGCTAAAGAAAATATTTATGATAGTTAAAAAGAAAATAACTAAAAAAATAAGACGAGAAGCTATTAAGTTACGAAGTAGACACAACATTAATATTATACTTGTAAAAAAAATAAAACTAACTACATAGAAAACTAGGGATACAAACTCCATTCCTGCCGTTTGTTTCCCACATCGAATTACAAAGGAGTGCAAGTGGTACAACTCTACGCTAGTAGCTGTATGGCGGCGAACCTTGAGCTGACCAAGTGGGATCACGCCACATTTGCTCGGGGTTCAGCTGCAGCGGCGGCAGATGCGGCGGACCCTTGCTGTCGCCACCGGCGCCAGGACCCTTGTCCCATAGTTTCTTTGCAGCGGGTGCAATCTATGTAAACAACAAGAGGACCTTGATTCACAAAATATAACAGACCTTTTTTTTCAACATTAGGGTAATTAGTTTGTGGGGGATAATTATAACAAATCATAAGGCAAATTACATGCTATTAAATTATTTTTTTTTAAATTAATGCATCAAAGTTTTTCTCTAGTTATTTTATTAACTTTATAATATAGGCACCTACAGATTACATTTATTCGTTTCCTAATAATCTAATAAATAGTAGCAATTAATTTAGGTTCATAAAAGTTAACCTTATATATTAGAACTAGATTGCAGTAACCGACAGTGGTTGCGAAATTAAGGAGTAAAGGTTAGCATGGTATGGGTATGTTATGAGAAGGGATGAATCGCATGTAACAAGGAGGGCGTTAGTTATGAATGCGGAGGGGTACACCGGTAGAGATAGACCTAGAAAGAGATAGTTGGATTGTGTGAAAGTTGAAATGATCAAGAAGGGAGTGATGACTGAGATGACAGATGATGGTTATTTAGAGGCCGAAAATCCGGTCCGCCGACCCTATTATGGGCACTCCCGGATAAAATAGGGAAAATGATGAGGAAAGGTTAACCTGAGAAATCCTTATTTTAGTCAACACAAAAATTAACATTAGATATCTAGACTTATGAAATTAAACCTGGATATTATTTTACAGATAACTTTTTTTACTGAAAAGTATCGAGGTAGATTTCGAAAAACCATTAGGATTTTTTCAGTTGACCAACTTAATAAAGATTCATATTTATGCATTGTATAAAACAATCGTTTTAATACAAAATGATTGAGAATATAGCCCCATAAGTAACCCATTGGTTGATTATGCTGCACTTGCTTTAATTAGGAGCATTTTGTCTGCCAACCGCTACATAATGTGAATGAATAAGGCAGGCTCTGTTTATGGCTGATTTTACACCTTTTTGAAAATTTTATAAACATTTAGATATATCTGAGTTTAAGGACTAAAAATAACTAAAAGTGCAGGTTTCATTTAAGTTTGTGTCTGGCATAGCGGTCAATACCATAAGATTTATGACAATAAATAAATGTTTCTTAATACCAAAACATTCCTAAACAGCAGGTTAACCTTTCTTAATTGAAGTTAAATTACAATGTACAACAAGACAGTTTGCATTACATTTTGGTACTAGCTGTCAAACGATTTAGAACTGCAAACACTATGATACAGTGAAACAAATGGTGGTAGAAATAATACTTCAGTATAATTTATTAACCCCGCAGCGTTAATCTGACTGCCAGGGATAAAATATTGAAGAATACTTGAATTTAAATATTACAAAAAAAAAAGTTTGAGACATCTGTTAGTTTTCAAAATTATGCTGCACCTCAGGCAAAAAACCTAATAAAGTTTAAATGCTAGAGCCTAAGCAGAGTAATAATTGACATTGATAAAATTGTAGCATTTTTTCTAAACAAACTAGTTCAAATTCCCTGATAATTCAAAGTCAAGATATCAATCCAGTATGACCTTACTGGAAAACACTTTCCAATGCTGGTATCAGTTAACTTAGTAAGATCTTACAAGAATAGTAAAACAAAAATTGTGAGTGATTTTAAAAGACAAAACAAATTGTGTGCTTTTATCTCTATATTGATTGGGTTTAAAACATTTACATTATTTTTATACAACCAAAAATGTTAGTAAATTAGTCAGTTTTGCACTTTACTGTACATATTCAGTATCTTACACTATCTTTCTCAGTCTGGCTGAGATATCAACTGATACTTTTTAAAATTACCTTAATATAAAACTCACTGAAGTTATTAGCATCTGGACTTGAAAAACTTTTTCACATAAGACTGGCTGATAATTAAGAAAAATTTTTAACAGGTAGTGCATATGAGAGACACAGTTGTCATAATCATACTTGTTCATTTAATTGCTAACCCAAACAACAATAACTGCTAACAATAACTCAGAACATGTCAATTGCCATTCTAAGACCACTATAGATCTTCAGTTTTAACTGAACAGTCAGACTGAGAGTAGGCAAAATTTTAACTCTTGTCAAATTGCACAGTTCGAATTTAGCCTACACACATTTAGTTTTATCTATGCAGTTTGTCTGTGCAGATAAAACTGAAAACTTGAGGCCAATTTATCTTTTATTAAAAGGTTTATAACAATATCAACTGCTTAAAATACCATCGGTTAAAACTACCCATAGAGAAAGCAAAACTTTTGATCCCAACTATGTATGTGTCTTATATTTATTTTTTACACTAACATTTTCAACATTGTTTTCAGTGTTTCAAAAATTTTTTATTTTGACTGTTCTCATAATGGTATATGCACTATCATGGATTAAAAATAATTGCATCTTTATGTAAGAAACTTTAAAAAAGTTCCAAAGGATGTATCACACAATGTTAACCCATGGCTGCAAGAACAAAGATGTTATCACACCTAATTGATACAGCCAAAAATATATATACCAATTAAAATTAGCCACGCTAATTATTATTTTAGGTTATGTGAAATTTGTGTTAGCCGCAATTGCTTCAGATTTTTATATTGGTGTCTTATACACAATGTGTTCATTTACATGTATTGCACGCCAATAACATTTTTGAACTCATTTAATATATGAGCGTTTACAAATTACTAGCAGAAAAATGTGATTTTGAAGTAGAAATTGCTACCCAACTATTAAAATTGATTTTTTAGTTAATTAAGCTTGTGATAAAAGTTTAGAAGACTGCCATTCATCTGCTATGTAAAGTCTTCAATGTATTTTGAGCATCCATTGAGATGCAATACTTTTAGAAATTTCCTTTGTACCATATATCTTATTATAAATAGAGTTTATAAACAATGCAACACTACATACTTCTGTTAAACAATACTTTATTGACATGTTTATTGATTGACATTAACATAATTGTTGTACATACTTTCCTTGTGTTTATTTTTTAATTAATAAAGAGATAAGCTTCTGTTGTACTTAGTGATCTTTGTTGAAGAATATTGTAAGCAAAACTGCTTGATATGCAAACTTCGAGTTAAGTTCATACTTAAATATCGATTTTTTAAATGACTAAAAACAGTTCATGAAATTAAATGAAAATTACAAACAAAAAATTAAATAACATTGTGTCAATAACGTTAACAAAGTACATAATAATAAATTATTACTATACTTGTCCCTTAACTTGTATTTCAATAAGAGTAAATGAAAATTGGGAGTGTGTTACATTTTAATACAATGCTTACCGCTTTCGTAACTTAAATGTAGACAATCAATATAAACCCAATAGGATCATACATTTTACAAATTAGATAGTTATCATTTACTTGGAACTTAAGACGAATTGTATAAATATCGCGTTTAAAAGTAATTATCATGAACAAATTTTCGTAAATTCGTTTCCAGACAATATAACTACCGACCGGTGAACAATATAATTATGCCTGAGAAATGGCGGACGCCGGTGACAAGTAAACAAAACAAAAACGGACCTGTTGCATAGAAAAAACAAATATTTCGTCATTTCATGACTTAAAATAGTATCCTTACACAATAATCTTTAATATTCAACACTAAAACTCACCATGTCGGGGCCCATATCCTTAACATTAGGTTCGAAAAAAAAGTCACTCAAAGGTTTCATGCGTACAATCCACCTAAAGCTCGATCATGTACCACAAGGAAAGCTTACGAGAAGAAATATATCACCAAACATCAAATACACTTATTACACAAAACAATAATAAAAACCAACACAAACACAGCACATTTCACTCACTTTAATGTTTTATTTTATCAAATAACGCTAGAAAGATCTGAACTTAAAATACAATGTTGACTTGTTCCGAACAAAGGACGTACGCCGACCACAGCGCCTGCGTTAAAATACCCTATACACGGGAGCGTCATTTCATATTGAAGTGCGAGGACTGCAAGATAGATGGCGCAGAATGCAATATAGTCATAATAATGATTTTGTAGGTTTACTATGCTTAAACAATTTAACGAATTCACTGAATTTTTCGATTTTAATGCTTGTTTTGATTTAAGTTGTAAAATTACCGACATAAAATGGACAATGAATTCTTCGAGCAATATTTCCGCATGGCTTGTATGAAAATTTAGGTATTGTGTCCAATTATTTTTCAAAAGGAATGATAAGGTTAGGGAACAGCGTGCTTTAAAACAAGAGTGTGATAGTGGAAACCCACGGAATAAAAGTAGTAAAAAAATAATAATACCCGAAGTTTTTACACTAAAGGCAACCACCTAGTTACAAATTCTTATGAATCAAGTTATTTATTTTCCAGAAAATTATTTATATAAAGATAGTAATCAAAAACAATTCATCACTTTTTTAAAACGTTTTTTATACTTTTTAACACAAAAATGTAAACAAGTAAAAAGGATTATTACCACAGTACCCGAATATTCAGGCCATTATTTTGACAAGTTAAAATTATTTTACATCTTTTGCGTGACCTACATAAATATAATGATTCTACAGTTTTGTATGACTTGAACAGCGAACTTAATTTTTTGCGTACTTCGGTAATTAAAAAATACTTATCACATGATTTTATAGGATAGTTGGATATCTTTATAAGTTTTAAATATAAAATTTCTATAAAATAATATAATTTGATTAGCATTGTAGGAAAAATGTAAGAAAAAAGAAATGTTTTTTTTTATATAATTAGCATTATTTGTGGTCTATGGGTTGAGGTCATAATTCATATTCAAAGTTTTTTTTTCGCTCGCGACTCCGTCTGCGCGGAATTAAAAACATATTTAGTTTTGTTCCAGACTATGTTCTACACCTATACCAATGTTCATCCAGGTCCATGCGGCTGTTATTTGGTTACTTGATAACATACATCCACCTAAACTTTTTCATTTATAACATAAAAAAATAGCTACTGCAAACTTCTCCGAATTAACCGTGGCGTTTTTCATTTTCATCGATTAGGGTAATTTTTTTGAAAAGGAGACCAAAATTTTCGCTTTACGCATTCACTTTTCAACTAGCTGTTGCCCGCGACTTCGTGCACGCTCTATTAGGATAAAAGAGTAGCGTATATTTTCCCCATCTATGTCAGGTGGAAGTGAAAGTCAGATCGAAATTGGTCCAGCCGTTTCGGATGTTACCCGGAACAAATGAGACTTTTGGACAGACAGACAGATATACAGACAGACAGAAATTTTAAAATGCAATTTTCGTTATCAGCAACGCAAATACATCATCTTCCCGAAATCTGGAATTTTTCTTTTGATATTACACACTCCAATTTTATTATATGTATAGATACAGATTTCGAATTATAATAACTAAAAGATGACTTCTGCTCATATATATATCTACTAAGGTGCCTCACAATCTCTAAGAATATAAAATAATTTTCTGACAACGTTTAAGATACTATTGACAAATAAGTTATTGATCAATCATTGGGGTCTCATAGCCCCACAACATATTCTTGAGTACAATACCAAAGTGTATTCATAAAAGCAATTACAATGTATGGTCAATTGCCTACTGTTTCTAGTTGCTGGTGAATTTCCTAGCACTTCGTTACAAACTGCAACTCTGCCATTCTTGAAAATGAGGTTTTAGACATTTTCTTGAACATCCCTATAAATTAAGGTATCATTGGTTTAAGACAAATAGGACAATGATGGCATTGGTGCCACACTATTTGATAGAATACCAAAGTGAAATAAAAACCACCTCTAATCAAGAGTCAATATTTGTATGACCTCAAAAAGATATGATACTAACATTGAGCATAAACGAAGTAGACAATTTAAGTGTCTTTATCCATGGATCAATTTAGCATTGCAAACAATGCGCAATATCATCCGCACCTACCAACAACACTTGGATTTGTCTCAGTTTATAGATCTTGACAGCCTGGTTATTTTTAGTGACAATATTTGCTGTAGGTATAGGGGTTTTCATTCTTATTGCATTTTTGTTACTATACTTATTTAACAGGAAATCATACAAACGATTAAAGCCACAGAGTACAGACTTTTTGTTATCCAATAGCCAAAATGTCATTTTCAATAATTGGGTTGGGCATTTAAGCCAAAATCATAACAATATTGATGTAATGTTTGCACCTCCATACATGTTCATACTTATCAAGCACCCAACTAAGCTATCAACCAATTAAAAGTCTGTAGTGTGCAGAGAGACACTTTCTCTTTCAGAATTAGGCTGACAGAATTTTTCAAAAATTAGCAAGTTTCTATATGTGTTATCTACACTTTTATACTAATATAATAAAAGCATAAACACACACTACTTCAAGGCATAGGGTGTCAGCAATCACAGTATATTTTTGAATAATTCTTCTTTTTTTAATAGTAAGCCCTACACTTACAACACACTTTTGGCTAGATATTTTCACACTATTAAACATAAGGGGAGGACGTCTTAAAAGACCATCATGTGGGAAAAGAACCATAAACTAAAAGCTGCCAACATTAAGGAAGCAAAGTTATTATGGCAACGGTAATTTTGATATTTGCAATTGACAATTTGACACATGCAAACAATAAAATAAACTTTTTATAATTTCACACTGAAGTCTCACGGAAACAGCTAGTTTTTAAATAAAATCTTTAATGAAATAAAAATAATTCAGATATAGTGATCCATCTGAAAAAGAAAGTTACATCTCATATGGAGTTACCTTTAAAGATGTAACTATTTTCCTTAATAACCAACTTAAATTATTTTTGGGTAATTTGATTATAATGGTATGCAAAACAAAAATTGTAAGCAAATGTGCCATATAAGCAGGTGTGCATGTTTGCAGGCATCAATGCAAGCAAATTAAAGTAGATTTCAATTTAAAACATTTGTTATAAACGGTTGTAAAACATGTTTAATTCACCTCTTAAAATATCAGTGTAAATTCCCTTAAATAGTGAAGCCCACTAGTATAATTGTCAGCCTATGTAAAGACAACCCCATATAATTGATTGTAGTTTGTACACAAAGGTTTTTGTGTGGTTAACCCACAAAAAACAATTTTTATATTTATGCACAGATAAGGTTTTGGTAATGTAAAGGTCGGCACCTGGCTTATATCATTTCATTATAATTGATGTAAACAACTAAACAATATTAAAGAGTATACCAAAAATATTTTTATTTTATTTTGTATTAACTCTTATACCAACTTGTACATGTATATGATAATTCAGTAGATGTTTAAACTTTTGTTATTTCTTTAGGAGGATTTGAATGGCAAAATCATAGATGCCTTGGTAGAAATATTATAATCACCCACCTTACCCTAAATTCCAAAGCTAGTTTGTGAACTAAGAAGCCTACAATAGTTTTAAATTTTTTCAATGAATTTACTTTTATAACCAACCATGCATTTTCATACAATTTATATAGTCTAGACAAAAAAACATTAATTTCTCATATGTAAATAACACTTTTAAATTATTAAGCTTTTCCAATAGGAACAAATAATTAAATTCATTCTATTACTAAGGGTAAACTGTTAAAAAATTTATTTATCACTAGCTTTCGCCGGCAAATCCCTTCGCGTGGAAAAAAAACAAAAGTGAGTAGTTTATGTGTTCTTCCAGACTATCCTCTACATATTTGCCAAATTTCATTGATATCTGTTCAGCAGTTTAGGCTACAAACTCTAACAAACATCTATCCATCCATCTAAACTTTCGCATTTATAATATTAGTAAGATATTTTTAAAACCCAAAAAGGCAAAAACCTTCTATGACATTATCAGACATTTTAAAAGTACTACAAATAAGTACTTTTTATAACAAAAATGGATTTCCAGATTTATAACTATATAATATAATTCAATAAATGTATGTAACAATTACAATTTGAGGTTATATGCCAGAATAAGCTCTAGCAAGAGAATCTTTTTGTTGCAGTGTATAATCATTCATATTTTAAGATATATAACTTATTTAGAAAAAGTAAAATATTTATTTACTTAATAATTTCTCTCTTTGGATTATAACATTAAGAAAATTAATCCTTGAGAAAGATACCCATTCAAACATTAAAATGCATACAAATGAGAAATCTACCAAGAGGTAAATGTGAATAAATTAATGTTTGTAGACTCACCTGATTTCTGATGGCAGCAACTGGTGTCAAATTAAGCTGATTCTGTCCTTGTACTTGATATTGATTAGTAGCAGGAGCAAGCATTCCCGCTTGGCTCAAATACATTAAGTGCTCTGCATTCTTGCCTATCCCATTGATAGCTTGCATTGGAGCAGCATGATGTTGGTGTAAGTCATACAGGCCCTGCTGCCCCAGCTGTGCGTTCTGGATGCCTTGCAATGGAGGCAGCATCATTGCACTGTTCTGAATTGCCAAATTATTGCCAATTGTATGATTTTGCAATGGTGCTAATTGTGTATGGACCATGTTTGTAGTCAAGTGCGCTGGGTGAGTTCCAATAACAGATTGGTTTATTGCAAGAGTGCCAACAGATGAAGCTATAGAATGATTTATATATTGTTGATTTGTCTGAGAGCTTTTAAGTTGAACAGGGTTTTGTTGATGCATATTGTTCATTGAAATGGGTGTATTTTTCCATTTATCTTGATTCTGGAAAGATGAAAGAAATTGAAATTGAATTATTTGTAGGTTAAGATTTCCTAACCTATTAGCTTGTGTATGAATTATTATGAAAAACAAATGTTTTGTCAGATTTAATGAGAAAAAAACAAACATGTAACTAAGATAAGTTTGACAATAATAAACAAAACAAACCTCCGCCATTGTTTCGTCGCCGACACCCCAGCGTTGTTTTGGAGCTAAAGAGCAAGCTTGTAATTCTCCTTCTTGTGGTTCTCGTTGGAAAACGTAATGAACCCCAGTATCATCCTGGGTACGAGTTTGTTGAGCGCGAGCAGTCTGCAGACCAGCTTCACCCGCCTCTTCTTCTGTCCCAGAACCCGGCCACTTCATTGGACTATCGTTAGGTTCGAGCATTCAGTTTCTGTGTGTTCTAATCCTTTGCAACCGTTAAGACAATATTTCTTACGATCTTATGTTTAACTATTAATTACAGCATAAACTTCGGCACTAATACATTCAAATACAAACAAAACTATTTTACATTATACAAAACACTACAAACGGCCATCTAATCTCACATTAAAATCTTTCAAGGATCGGCTGTTTTCTATGCCTTTTGTAATGACAGAAGTTTAATCGAAACACGATGACAGCCGCTAGGGAAACAAAATATTGCATGAAATGCAACGGTCTCTTATGATCCCAAACACAAAGGCAAAGGATGAAAATGTACAAATTGGGTAGTGATTTATACCAAATTTTGAAATTTATAAGATATGTGAAATATAATGATGTACTAACTCTTAGATTTAGCAATTAGTCGGCGTCGAGAACAGAACCGAATAAACACTCAAAATAATACACTATTCACACAATTTCTAAACAAAACGACCACAAATATAATTACTATATGTACACAGGACTATTTACAATGTACAATTTTTACAAATAACTCGGTTTATGCCATTGGCAACTGTCGATACTTTCCGATTTACAAAAGACTACAAACATCCTTTATTGCCTGTCCGCCATAGTCGGTCAGGCAGATGCGATGCGCGCGCAACGCGCAAAGCTATACTATAAACATAAATAAAAACCACAAACGTTCCATTTTCACCGTTGAAAATTATTTGAATGTAATCTTATAAAAAGATGTCATCTTTATGTATTTTTAGAAGCAAAAAAATGTAATGAAATATTTATATTAATTATCAATTTAAAATGTATCATTCAAGTAGAAAATTGCAACGAATACTTTAATTTCGTAGCTTTGATGCAATAGATTGTATTGTATGTAATTAATATAAAACTGTAAATTTAATGGATAATTTCTACAACGTACATGAAGTGTTTTAAAATTTAAGAAAACATTTTCGTAGTCAAAAAATAGCTTACTTCCTTTGTAGTAAAAATAACGTACGCCGTAGTATGGCAAACTCTTTACCAGTCCACGCCAAATTGAACCTTACAATCAACCATCAAACAAATCATAGGTCAACTTATACTATAAAATTCAATATATCCATCTTATTTTAACTGTATTATTTTTACGCTAACTGTCAGAACAAACACTAAATATTGGTAAAAACATAACAAAATGTACAAGTCACATGAATTCTGAGATTAGTCTGCACCAAGTCACAAACATCCCCCACAGTCAAATTGTTGTATTGAACTCTATTGTTTTGAACAGTCCTTTTTTATACATAAAAAAGCCTAATGTATACATTTGCACAAAGTAGTATGCAGACTTATCAAAATCAAATAAGATTACTAACATATATTGAACATGTTTTAATTTACATTTACATTTATCGGTTATTCTTTCAAAGACTAGATCCAACTGAAGTTTAGTTAACCTAAATATTTCATTTAAATAATAAAAAAATCATTGTCAAGCCAGGACCATTATCAAGTCATGCTCCTGTCTTGCCAGCCAATAAATTTAAGATTTTTTTTAAATAGTAATCAATTTAATAAAATTGTGATGCTAAATGTTCCACTAACTAGTACATAAATAAAACAAAACATAAGAACTTACAAACATTTTATTAATCAAACTGATTCAGAAAAATAGTCTATATGGGTTTAATCTTAAAATGAAGTCCAATTAGAGAAAACACAAGACACTTCAGGTCTTGCACTAAGTAGTAGAAACACCGAAGACCCTCAGGATCTCTAGATTGATTTACATCAACTAGGGAACCCGTTTTTGATGTAGTGAATGAAATATGCTCTTCACCAATCACTATCTCCAGTTCCTGTAACAGAAAGATTATAAAAATCAGTTTCATGAAAAGGCAATGTTTGTCAACACATTGCATGTTGGGATATAGTTGAATAGATTTTACAGATCTGGGAGGTCGGTAGTAGGCAACTAATTTGGTCAATTCTAATGTTAATAATGGCATGTAACTTTCACTAGACATATTAAACTGCATTGGTTTCATAAGACTACATACAATTTATATGACACAAGGACTAAATAACTAGTAGACTATCACAAGAGACGTAAAGAGTACTCACTTGTCTACCCACTCGATCAGGTTGTGGCCATAAACGATCATCTTCGTGCATAATTTCAGAATCAACGATTATCCTTTTCAATTCTTCCATTACGCATGGATGCGCATACGCTTCTTTTCGTATCATTGTATCGTTCTTGTAATTAGAGTTGTTTGCATACCGAAGTTTGCCATCAGGACGAAATTCAAACTCCAAAAATTCGTGTCCAAACTTACCCTTATGTCCTACATAGTATCGAATGTAAAAATCAGTAGACATATTGAAGAAGTAATTTTAATCAACCATGTACTTTTCAAAATAAACACGGTAAAATCAGTCAGGCAACCAGCAAGTAATATGTTTATTTTATAAGCATTCAACCAAAAAACTGGGTTTAATTTTGATGCTTTCTTTTCCTTTGACGTTTATTTGAGGTTGTTTGAATGTTTGACTTTGACTTATGGCGCTGCGTGCGTTGACCACAAACAAAATTATTTTTTTTATACAGAAAATGATAAGCCAACACAAAAAAACACAGTTTCAAAAATAGAATTAATGCAACCAAATATCTTAAGTGGATTTAATTTGATTTGGATCTATCTTAATATTTCAGACAATCCTCATAATATCGGAATGAATAGGAAATAGAAAGCTACGGTATTTTGTTGCATATAATTGCCACTCTCATGCTCTCAGCATCGTTATAAGTGGTTACCGACGTTACCTAGGGATCCCTTATGTCGATGTGCGAAATCTGCACAAAGATCTTCTATATTTATATTCCAATATTGTTTAGCTTTATTAAACCAGAACTAAAATTCTAGACCGTTCTATAACGTTGCAAATTTAAAAAATATACTTTAGAAGTAATCGCTGTAATCGTACAGCGAAATTTTAAACAGTGAATTGTTACATATATTTGATTCTTCTTTATGCGTTTATATTTGCTTGCCCAAAATGTTATTGATAGCTTGCAACTTAAAATAAATATAGTTGGCATGAAACATTAAACCTACCTTTTTTCATAAAATTTCTTTTTTTGAATTTCAATGTCAAGACTTTTAGTTTCGTCATCATTTGTTTCTATCAAGAATTGTGGTTTTATGTTCTACTAGTAATATAATATATAGTCATATATTTTATTTCTAAATATGTGTTTGTAATTATGTTTTATCGTACTAATAAGTAAAGGTGAAACATAAATAAAATTGTTACTGAAAAGGGCGCCCATTTTACGCGGTCCTTTTTTTTAGACACAAAGGTTCAAACATTAATGTCTTCAAAAAAATATATCTTGGTCACAATATATTACAAGAACTTTCGAAAAAAATATAGTTTCTTATATTTGTGTAACATATTATCAGATTATATGAAAAAACCAGTTTGAGAAGGTTTTGCAGATTTGTGTAATAGACAACTTTCCGTAGACTAGAGAGGTCTTACAGGTTTATTATTCTATCCGTCAAACAAATCTTTTCTTTTTGACCCAGGCAAGATGGGTGAGTGGTTGTAGAAATTTTAAGTTATATCCATTTAAATCATAACATTGCCTATGTAATTTGCTTGATTGATGTGATTCGCGAATTGTGCGTTATAGTAAAATTTGTTTACTGTTAATATTTTTGATATTACAGTCTTGGTTGACGAACAGTGATAGTGATTATCGGACAATTTGTTTGTTACTCTTGTGTTTAGTAATTTTACTACCATGCAGGTATCAGTCGTGATCACTGGCATAAGCGAAGGGCCACAGGAGGTAAACGAGCGCCCATTCGTAAGAAGAGGAAGTATGAGTTAGGTCGCCCGGCTGCCAACACCAAGGTATGGAACATAACCTTAAATATGTAAATTTAGAAATTATAACATAATACTTGCTATTTTATATTCTTATGGATCTTTATGAAATTTTCACGTGTTATTGCATTTGTTTTAGCTTGGTTCCCAGCGTATCCACTTGGTACGAGCTCGTGGTGGAAACATCAAATATCGAGCTCTCAGACTTGACACTGGCAACTTTTCATGGGGTTCAGAATGTAAGTTGAATTCATTATTATAATAATGTACTTCTAAATGTATTATAATTTATTATATTTGGGATTTAAAGATTTTGCATTTTATATTATTTACATAAAAGTTTGTTGATTAGTATTTCTGTCTAAGTGATAAAAGTGAACTACTAATTGCATTGAAAAATGTAAAAAAAAGTGCACTTTTGTAATGTGCAAAAAATATTAGTATTACTATTGGTTCAGAGCTGTATGTAATGATCCTGAAGGGTTTTTAGAAGTTTATTATCAAAAGGTGATAAATCTTAGTGTGGATTTAATTATGATGTCACAATGTGATTTATTTTGTTTGCAGGCTCAACTCGCAAGACCCGTATAATTGATGTTGTGTACAACGCTTCTAACAATGAGTTAGTGCGTACTAAGACTTTGGTGAAGAATGCTATTGTTGTGGTTGACGCTACTCCATTCAGGCAGTGGTATGAATCCCACTACCTGTTACCCCTTGGCAGGAAGAAGGGTGCTAAGCTGGTATGTACAACATGTTTACAAATAAGACAAAAATGTATACATCATTTGTTACTATTTATAACTGAACAATAATGTTAACTCTTAATTCAATAGTGTCCAGTGTAATGAACATATAATTATAAAAAAAAATACTCAACTTGTTTAGAGAAAAATCACCTGAGATTTTAACTTTAGTGTGTTGGTAACATATAATTTTGTGCTACAAAAGTCTGTTGAATTAAGAGTTAAGCAAATAAGCTTGATGATTTTTTTTAACTATATACAAGAGTTACATGTATTATGTGATCCAAGAGATGTTATATTTTGTGGGCTAAATTTATTTCTAGTGATCTTAATTTACTTATTCTTAAATTCCATTTGTAATTACATAGTAATTCAATATTGATAACATTAGAGTCTTACTATGGATTAACAACTGATCAATTGCTTCTTAAGTCTAGAGTATAGAGTTGTTACAACTCATTTGTTGCTAGATTTTAGATGAATGATGAGATTTATTGCGTGTCATATGATTATACAATGATATGAAGAACTGCATTACTGAGCTGTCATCTGCTTTGTTTTATATAGTTTAATACAACTTTTTTAACATTTCGTACATTTTGTGCAGACTGAGGCTGAAGATGCCATCATCAACAAAAAACGCAGCAAGAAAACCGCTAAGAAGTACTTGTCCAGACAACGCCTTGCAAAAGTTGATGCGGGACTTGAAGACCAATTCCATACAGGGCGTTTGTTAGGTATGTTTCAACAGTAATGATCTACAAATTATATACGTAACTATGTATTTAGTAAGTTTCATATTTTTTACATTTTGAATGATGAAAACTAAAGTATTGAAATTGCCGTTTAAATTGGAACCGTTTTGGGAACAGTTTGGCAATTGCGTGATCCACTTGTCATAGTTACTCTGACTTGTTTTTTTAAATACCTGTTTTTTTTTTGTTTTTGTTTCATTGTTTATTAATATAATTGTGTTTGCAGCGTGCGTGTCCAGTCGGCCCGGCCAGTGCGGCCGCGCCGACGGCTACGTGCTGGAGGGCAAGGAGCTGGAGTTCTACCTAAGGAAGATTAAATCCAAGAGGGCTAAGTAAAAAGTGTAATGTAAAATAAACAAAAAAAACAACTTCGATCTTTGTTTTCTTTCATACAACAACCTTTACCTGAGAGAGTGACCAGACATGGTATTTTGGTGTCCCTTATGTCTAACTTCTTTAAATAACCTAATTGTTGGTTATGACTGCAATCACGAATGGATTGACATACAATGAATCGAAAAGTTTTCCAATTAGTGGGCACAAATGAAACTTAATCATAATAGCTCTAGCGCTCTCATTTTAAGCTCTTGACTTTGTAAGGTTGGTTTTGACAGAACTACAGCAAGTTAAAGTCCAAGGAAAACTCAAAATATTTTAAGTTATCAAGTGTACATTGCAGAGGTTTTGGCTCTGATGGGAAGGGAACATATTATTTTTTGAAGTAATGGAGGTTTTTTAAGTTATCGAGGTTCTACTGTAATTACAGCTCCTTTGACGAAATAGACTGTTTTTTTATAACATAACGAGCAAGTAGCCACTTGAATCCAACTAAAAATAGCGAAGCTGTTATATTATCACTGCAGCAGCTTCGCTAATATTAATACTAGTCACTGCAGTAGAAACAGTAAGAAACAATTCGTCGCCCTGGTTAGAAATACGAATAGTCATATCACTGGAATATTTTTCAAAACAAATATCATTTATGCAGTAAAGACCAGTTCTAAGTCCCGACTCTTACTTATATGCTACAGACTACGCTTTCCCGCGACTGTACTTTGTAAATTACTATATTATATTTTTTGTATCTGCGATTATCTTGAGACCGCTTTAAGATTTAGGAGGATCTTCATGCCCATTATATATCCTCCATTGATGTGGAAAGCAAATGTAAATAAAACATCGTTTTTTTAAAATAATTATTTTACTATAATATTCTAGAATTTAACGGATCCACTAATTTGCCTGCCATCAAAGCGACGTTTATATTCGCGTCCATAACAAAGTACAGGAACGGATAAGTAGCTGAGAAGTATGCTCGTTGGCGGTTCGCAGCGTGTCCTGAAAGTTTCAAAAATTGTATTACACGTTTCTAATTATTGGTAATCGACGGATGTTCCTATCAAACAGTAACATTTGAGCCCGAAGTTAGTCGTCCCGTTTCAATTCGTCCCTAATATTTTAGGTGGTACACCACGTAGACAACTAGATGGACTAAAGATCTACGCATTAGAGAGAACACAATAAAAATATATTTAAGCTACAGGAAGCCATCAATGTTATCATCAGTTACAGCAATTTTGTAATTGAAGGCACAATCTGCAAATCATATTCATCTCGTGATTAGGCATTTAGGTCGGCATAATGCGAGTGCAGCGGTCAGCGGTCGATTTCCCTAATTGTTGGCGCGCGGGGTGCGTTGCTCGTTGCGGTGCGAGGTGCGCGTGCGCGGCAAGTGCGGGACGCATCAATGGGCTCACATGCGCGTGTCGCCGCGTTGCGCCACCGCACCGCCGAGACAATGGCACCGCCGCTCCGCATCTCGCCACTTACCAGCGCAGAATTTGCACTCTTTTGACAACAATTATCTTATCTCTGCACTGGAAAACGAGCTCACTCTGACAAGCTTACGTCCAATTGTCGTCTGCGGTGTTGCATCGCAATGCGGCTGGCCGGGTGGTCGGCTGTTGCAACAATCGCTTGTTAGATCGTACGATAGTATAGTGTTTTATACAGTAGAGAATTCATGATTGTCAATGTATATTTGAATAGGTAATAATTTGTGTGCAATTTAGTTAATTTTGGAAACGCGTCAGCGAAGCTCAAGGATGCGGCGTTGTGCTGCGGCGCGTGACAACGCGCGTGGCGGCAGCCACTTCCAGCCGCTTGCCAATTAAATGGATCACACCGGAACCTGGCACTTGTTCGTGCAGGATTCGAGACTGAAGGCGCTCTTTGTTTGTGTCGTGTTCTTTCCAGTCGCTGCACACTATCGGCTCCAAGGATTCCAACGATGTATCATTACTTACAGTCTTTGTTTTTGTTGCGCTTCAGAAATGATGTAATAAAATAAATTAACTTATTATTCGAATCGAATGCAAAGGAAGATTATGAACCCTGAACAATACTGTAAACGAACGCTTAGCCACTGGGCCATTGTCGTCTACAAACGTTTGTAACCTTAAATGGAAAATATAACACAAGATACGAACCAATTTTTTTTGTTTCGTCCGCCGAGTACTTCCTGATGGCGACAGAGACGGCCTGCTCGATGCTACGCACGTAGACGCCCGCCTGTGACGTCATCGGCGTGAAGTCATTCTGCCGCGGCTGGAACACGTTTCTGATGCCCAGCTGGAAATTATCAAGGAAGATACTGTATATGTTATATTCTGTCTGTGATTTTAAAAGCAACAACTTTGTTATTTCAAAAAGGTAGAGACTTCAGAAGTTATAACTTAGGATAGCTTAGGTTTAAAGTTAATTTTTGAATCGTGTAGTTAGCTATAGGAAACAATGACCAATGTAATCCCACGCACAAATTACGATTGAAAGTTAAAGTACGCCACAGTTCAGCCAAACTATGTTAATTAGTTAATGGCAGTATGTTATTGAGATTTTAATCATACTGCGGCATCTGGGTTACTGGGTACGGGCTGAATGGGTTTGTGAGATAATGTGGGTCACAAATGCAAGTATCAACAACTTTTCAAAACGCGTGTTCAACAGTATTAAATTTCATTTTCACTCTTACGCCGTCTTATGGTGTCTAAATCAAACTTAGTTTATTTATATGTGACTATATTACATTTAACTTGCGACATCTCGTATGTGTGTCATTATGTTGAGTACAAGGTTGCTCTCAGGAGTTTTACAACTCTTTCGAAATTAAATCTTACATATTATAAATATATTTTCTAGACTAAATAACAAACAAGCTCACCCTTTGCAGATCTGTGGTTAGTGTGATGTGACCTTTGACGAAGAAGCTGGGCACAAGCGCGCGCACTCTCTTGGGTCTGAGGGCATTGTAAACGTCTGAAAGGTCTGAGGAGCGCGCCATGCGAGCCAGCAGGCGCGACAGCTCGCCCGCGCGACGCCGCGTCGGCAGCACCAGTAGTAAGTAGTATCGGTCACTGTCCAGCGGCAGCCGCAACGCAGACGCCTCCAGGTGCGGCAAGTATGCGTGCTCCAGGGTCGCGTCGTAACTCATGTACGTCACCTGGATAGTTTTGGTTCAAATGTTCGCTTTCTAAGTAATAATTTTTTAAGTAAAAACTCCATGCTGTCCAATCGCAAGATTGACTAAATTTATCACACTCATACTTTAAAAATGCTTGCCTCAAATTTGTTGTTTAGCACAATTAATTGTTAAACCATTTTTTTCAAGCGAATATTTATACAATGTACAAGTTGAGAGAACATCGGTTTGAAGACGTCTGTAACAACGAATTCTACGGGTTGTTACTAAAGAAAGATAAATTAGTCTTACCTCGACATTTTTTATTCCGTTAGCCAAAAACATTTGATTACCGCCATATCCTACGTTGGGCGGTATCTTTTTTAAATCGTCGGCAAAATATACGCCTTGTTCGTCACCACCGTAAGCCATGTCTGTAAAATCAGGACCAATGTCGAAGGACCTGTACAGTGGGTAATTGTCATAGTATGGCGGATTTGTATACAGGTATTCGACTACAGACTTTTTTCTTCGCGTCAGAGTTCTCAATATCGAACCATTAATGTGTGTTGGATTCGTTACACTTTCTGGCTTGTTTGTTGTGATTCCGAATGTTGACATAGTTAAACTGAGAGGCGTGACATGTCCTGGAGTAGTTACATTTTGCATGTTTGTCGTACTTTCCGAAGATGAGGCAGCTTCAGTTGAAGGTGTAACGCTTTCTGTGGTTGATGTGTTCTGCATAATTGTTGTGCTTTCAGATGTAGGGGTAGCAGCACTTGAAGTTGAGACACTGCCTGACCTAGTCATATTTTGCATGTCTGTTGTACTTCCTGACGGTGTTTCAGTTGATGACGTGACATTTTCTGAAGTGGTTGAGTTTTGAGTGGTTGTTTCATTTAAGGAAGTGGTTGCAGTCGAAGGCGTAGAACTTTCAGTAGTGGATGCATTTTGCATATTTTGTGTGCTTCCAGATATAGATGTCGTAGTGGGGGTAGTGACACTTTCTGTGGTCGTGTTTTGGTTGTTTGTTGTAGTTCCATTTGAAGACGTTGTTTCTGTAGAAGGCGTAGTAGTTCCCGCAGTAGACATAGTCGTTCCCGTGGTGGTCGTATTCGTTGTTCCAGTGGCCATACTTTCTGTTGTACTTATAATATTCTCTGACATAGTTGTGTTAGAGGTCGTTGTTATATTGCTATTTGTGGTTGTCGAAGAAGTGGTTGTTGAAGAACTATTTATTTGAACAGTTGTAGTTGCAGGTTTAGTTGTTAGCATATCTGTAGAAGCGGACGTCGTTTCAGTGGATACAGTTGTCGAATTTTGCGTTACTTCTGTTGTACTAGTTTCAGTTGGATTAGTAGTGGTTTCTTCTTTATCGGTGGTAGTATTCTCCGTACTTAATGTCGTCGTAGATGTTTCACCAACAGTAGTGGTTGTTGGAGTGGTAGTCACGGTGGCGTTTGGAGTACTTGTGGTGGTCTGTCCACTCTCTATATCAAACCCATAAAATCGCAGAACCTCTATGTACTTTTCTTTAAAGACAACATTGTCTAAATTAAGCGCTAGGCCCGCCAGGAATCCTTCTTCAGGAACGAAATATGTCTGAAAAAACAATGACTATTAAAAAGAACAGAAATAAAAAAACACAGAAATAATTACAAATACGTTTTCAAATATAACCCGAAGAATTAAAAAAATCCAAGGCGCTAACCACTTATAAAATTGTTAAAAAAGGCTTTATAACACGAGATTATTATAATGTTAATTTGATATGACTTTATTGTTGTCGAAGATTTAATCATCATTTTGCGTATTATAATCGTCCAATTCAAATATTGGACACATAAAAAAAATGTAGAAATTAAAACCCTTATCCTATTTTATCCCTAATTTTCGTTGAAACAGTTTCGGTCAAGAATAATAAAAAAAAAACATACAGACGAATTAAGTACCTCCTTCTTTTGGGTAGTCGGAAAAAGAGGAAAGATGATTTATAAAATAACTTTTAAGTTAGGCAATTGAAACATTGTTGAGAACTCACTTTGAGTGCGCGGTGTATATCTCTGAAGCCAACTCGCATGACGTTCCTGTTCCAGGGCAGCTGCATAGCGCGCTGGATCTCATACGAGGAGTCGCCGTCCACCCCTTCATACAGTGCCACCATTATCCCCATCAGCCCGTATGGGGAAAATGCTATGTTATTATCGTTCAAGAAATTGTGCTGGTCCAGGACTTTTAAGCCAAACTCGTTAGTTGCATCCACCATTTGTTTGAGTGGCGTTCGCCCCGTATCCCAGTGATTGATTTCAATGGGCACCCCATATTTGATACCTGCTACGATCGCTATACCCGCGTAAAAGCAAAACAATCGCGCGCAAAGTGAAGTGCCCGCGCGTCCGGCGCGCCGCATGGTGGTCGCGTCAGTGAATAGTGACCGCGCTCTGCGGCCGCGGCCCCTTGTCTCGCTTTACGCTAATCTTCGCATTTAATTATTATTGAGAACTCGCACTTTTCGGTGAATGCCCTCTTCGATTGTTTTTTGCGAAAATTTAATATGAGATTCGTTATTACTATCAGAACCTTAATAACGCACTCACGTTATTAATAATTATTACGAAGTTCTTGACTCGTGTCTAACTGTGTTTTGTAAGCTTACTTGTGATTTAATCTAAAAAACGAATTATTACATTAGGCATTTTAACGATTACATTTTTTTACAAAATTTATCCAGCTTTTCTTCAAACATGTTTTTTTGTTAACTTACTTTGGGAAGTTGTGAGAGTTCCTCTATCGAATTTTCTCGCATTTGTCCACCACCTGATTTTGTGCAAATTATAAACAATCACTAAAAAGTTTAATTTAGATAGAGAAAGATCTCGCTTACATTAACACAAATTGTTCTGAAGCTATACCTTCGTGAAGAAATTTTCAAACATTTTGTATGTAAATTAAAATTAGCACAACGAATACTAACTGTAAAACTGTTCCTTCTACCAACACAACCGTTATTTAATATTTAGCTGCCAAAGTACTAGCCATCCGCAATTAATTATTACTTTGTCATTAATAATATTCTTTATCTACCCACAAAATATGTCAAAATGACTTATACAATCGAGTCGAGTATAAAATTGTTATTTTACATAAAATAATCGTTTTATCTCAATAGATATTTATCTTTTGTGTTTATAAATTGTTAACGTCTTGCATATCCGGGCTCTTTTCTGTAATAGCAAATAAAGCGACTAGTAAAACATGTTTCCATTCATTCCTCATTTCTTATCGCAAATCGATCGATGCAAAAGTATCAAAATATCAACATAACTTTCATTGTCATAAGATGTTTCAAACATCAGAAACAGGCTCATGTACCGGTTTCATGCTTTATTACACATTCCTACGGAACCTGTATATTACTGAATAAGTCTTAAAATGTATGAACAATTATGTAGATGATAGTAATATTGTAACCGATAATAGTTTCGCTAAAAGCCTATCTAAAGGCTTATTTTTGTTAGTAATGTTGACGATTTGTCCCACGATATCGACTTTGGTCATTGTCCTGTGAACATGTATCAATCAATGATAAAGACAAAGGATGTACTTAATGTCTTCGCATTCCGAGCCTATAGTAACTGTTGTTCTCGGTTGTGATTAATGTGTTTTTACGTTCACTAAGCAAAAAGAGAGGGGTTAATTTTAGAAAACAGGAAAGCTTTGACGATTTTTTGACTGACCTAACAACAGAAGGAGGTATTCTATTCGTCTATATGTTTTTTTTGATAATGTAATTGTAACCTGGTGTTTCCCGTAGGGCGATCGGCTCTCTTATCAATCGACGCTTTGGAGTTTTATCTCTTTTCATGTATCTTTGTCATTTCGATTCAAGTATTCTGGGATTTTGGTAAATAAAACAATGATATTTCATAAAATTACTTATTTAAAAGCTGTAAACACAATTTATTAATACAACGCAATCCGTAAATTATTGCAACTTATTAAGAATACTATTACATCCCTCCTCTGCCGCGTCCCCGTCCCCCACCCTGGAAGCCGCGTCCCCTCCCCCCGCCTTGGAAGCCACGACTACGTCCTCTGAAGTTTGTATTCGAATTTTTCTGATAGTTATTGTAATGCTGTTGATTCGTGTCTTGTGTATTGTAGTTGTTTTTAAAATTGCCTCGGCCTCTTTTATTATACGGCCGGTTTTGGTTAAAATTATCGTATCCAATTTGCATCTGTTCATTCTGCACATTATCTGTTTGCGCGGGCCATCTGTTATCAGACATTGCGGACTGTCTGTTATCCACCAGAGTTTGATTATCTCCAAACGGAGCCGGTCTGTTGACTCCTAGTAAAGATTGTATTTGCGGGCGATTCCCTGCCTGCAAGACCTGTCTATTATCCATTGAAAACTGTCTGCCATCATCTTGTCTGTTATCGTTCATTAACGTTTGCCTATTATCTGCAAATGATTGTTGTCTATTGTCTACCATTTGTGATCTAACATTGGCCATTGTTTGCTGTCTATCTTCTTCCATCGGAGTCTGTCTATACTCTCCCAATAAAGACTGGCCTCCTTGGAAAGTCTTTCTGTCACTCATTAATTGCGGTCTATTCCCTTGAACGGGTTGCCTGTCACTCATGAAAGGCGACTGCGGCGACTGATAATTATCGTTTGTTGAGAACTGTCTACTGTCGGTCGTCGGCTGCATATCTCCCGCGTAAGTCCGATTCTGCATCATATTCTGCGTGTTGGTAACTCCTGACTGCATATCCATCAATGATTGATTATTTTGACCTTGCATGTTATCATTGTAATTTTCATTGGAGTCATTAGTTCCAAAGCTCTTTTGGCTGTGAGGGGAGTTGGTTCTTCCTTGATAGCTAGGAGATTGCTGATGTTGAAAATCTGAAGCTACATGCGATGGAAGAGATGAGAGCTGTTTGATTGGTTCCACTGTAGCAGATGATTCAGGCATGTCTCCGAAGGACCTGGGTTGGTTGTTAGTGGAGACTTCAGCGGTGTGGCTGACTTCAGCTGTCTTGGCCAGTGCACTGGACTGTATGGAGGCGTGCACTAAGGCAAGCAGGTCAGCAGCGGAGGATATGCCCAATGTGTTGGTGACGGTGACCGAAGTCGTGGCTGGCTCCTCTACTGTTTTCGATTCTTCCAAAGACTTTTTCACAATCTCCATTTCCTGTTGGATTTGATTCTCTTTGACTTTTTGCGTTGCCGATTTAAATACCTGGGAAAAAACGGAAACGTACATTTAAACAGTTGTAAGCATGAACGTAAATTACGTGTTTATCAAAAAAGACTATAGGATTTGTTACACGCTACAAAAATATTCAGACTTGAATAATTTTTGTGATTTTTTCTATATCATGTGGTAGTGGAATGTACATACATATTTACTACCTAATAGAGTTTACCCTTTAAGAATAAATAATAAAATATTACTACAATTTCTAATTTTATAACTATATTTTTCACAATAGCAATCGGCCAGATTATTTAAAAACATCGATCGATTACAAACAACAAGTTCGTTTCTATAAAAATGCTTTTAGCTGAACCTAACGCGGTCTATAAAAAGTATAAGCCTACCCACCACCACCGGCCCCACTGATTTTCAGGTCAAACGGGCCGACTCGCGGGAGGGCGCACAGTCTGACCGCATGCACCTTCTTGGCTCCCAAGTTATATTGTCTATTTATTTATGACAATCTCCCCCTAATGGGTATAACGACACAATGGACACGAACATGTTAACAATAAAAAGTATAATAAAAAAGGTCTCACTTCTTCTACAGTATAGTCATCATCATCGCTGTGTATGGTGACGAGGTTGTCGTCTGTGGGCGCGGAGGCCGCGGCGGGGGCGAAGGGCGCGTCAAGTTCGTATACGGCGGAGGGCGCGCCCGCAGCTGCCGCGCCCACGAAGCGGCGCAGCTTCTCCACTCGCTGCGGCGCGCGCACCTCCAGCTTCTTGAGGTAGGCGATGAGGCTGTGCTGCTCCTCCGCAGACAGCTCGTTGAAGTTCTTCAGCAGCGTTTCCAGGTCAGAGTCCGACAGGCCGTCCATTGCATCCGATGCGTCGTCTTTAAACGGCGGGGCGCTGCCGTAAACAATTTTATCTTAATAACCTGGTATTATTTTATTTCATTAACTTAGTGATTTTGCTGTTTTTGTTTTTTTTTAATCATAAAAATATGATAAGTATAAATTAGCGCTTGACAACGATCTCACATAAAGTGGTAATGTTGTCGAAAGATGATACGCGCTATGTTGCTCACGATTTCGTCCACGTGAAATTAAAATACAGCTGTTACTCAACGATAACATAGCTTTCTAATAGTGAAAGAATTATGAAAGCGGCCTAGTAATTTTTGAGTTATATCCAGAAATACAAAGCTGTCTTCTCTATAATATTAGTATAGATATAGAAAGAGAATGCGGATTAAACCATTATTGCTTTGTTTTTAAGTTTTAGTTGAGTCAGTGTATAGCAATAGAGATTATGTTACTTGGGGTCATCGTATGCAGACTGCAGCATCTGCAGGGCGCTGGTGGCGCGGGAACCACTCGCTGTGCTGTTCCTTGTTAATTGATTTTTTTTCTTCGCTTCGCTTTCTCGTTTCTTCGCTTCAGCCATTCCGACCTTACAGACAAATATCAGTACATCACTTTTGTATAACACGAAATTGAACCATTTTTATGAAGTCAATTTATGATACTTTATTTAGGGTTTTTCAAGAACTCTTGAGTTACATAACAGTTTTTACCCATACAGCTTTATTCTAATTGAATTCAAGTTTAACAAGTCTTAATTTCTGTTGTTATAAAATGTTAAATAGTAACAGTGGTTGTGTAGGCGCAGTGAGGGGTAAATGTGAGTGGTGTGGGCGCTGACCACGGCGTCGATGAGCTGCTCCAGCTCCTGCGGCGAGACGTCGGTGCGGCCCTCCGCCACCAGCGCGGCCGCCATCTGCGCCGCGATCTCCGCGCGGTCCACCGCGCCCACGCCCGCCACCGACACCGCGCCTTCGCCCTGACGACACAAATTAATTGTTTAATGAAATAAACAATAGAGAAAATACAACCTATGTTACTTATTGATGATGTAACTTTTCAAAGGTGAAAGAATTTTTAAAAGCTGCACAGCGGTTTGTAAGTTATTTCAATACATACAAAAATACAAATCTTTACTCTTTATAATACCAGTATGGTTTAATTAAAAACTTCCCACAAAAAGTTAAAAATGTATATCTACTATCCTTAGAAACACGAACACGTTTGGAAAAAAGCTAAGATTATGCAAGCAAAAGAGGTTTACGAAGTATTTTAGTACCTTTTTGCGTTGTGTGTCATTAGTTTCGCGGTGTCGCTTGTCGGCCTCGTGCAGCGCGGCGGCGAGGCGCATGACGGCGGCGC